GTGTGTGTGTGTGTGTGTGTGTGTGTGTGTGTGTGTGTGTGTGTGTGTGTGTGTGTGTGTGGTGTGTGTGTGTGTGTGTGTGTGTGTGTGTGTGTGTGTGTGTGTGTGTGTGTGTGTGTGTGTGTGTGTGTGTGTGTGTGTGTGTGTGTGTGTGTGTGTGTGTGTGTGTGTGTGTGTGTGTGTGTGTGTGTGTGTGTGTGTGTGTGTGTGTGTGTGTGTGTGTGTGTGTGTGTGTGTGTGTGTGTGTGTGTGTGTGTGTGTGTGTGTGTGTGTGTGTGTGTGTGTGTGTGTGTGTGTGTGTGTGTGTGTGTGTGTGTGTGTGTGTGTGTGTGTGTGTGTGTGTGTGTGTGTTGTGTGTGTTGTGTGTGTTGTGGTGTGTGTGTGTGTGTGTGTGTGTGTGTGTGTGTGTGTGTGTGTGTGTGTGGTGTGTGTGTGTGTGTGTGTGTGTGTGTGTGTGTGTGTGTGTGTGTGTGTGTGTGTGTGTGTGTGTGTGTGTGTGTGTGTGTGTGTGTGTGTGTGTGTGTGTGTGTGTGTGTGTGTGTGTGTGTGTGTGTGTGTGTGTGTGTGTGTGTGTGTGTGTGTGTGTGTGTGTGTGTGTGTGTGTGTGTGTGTGTGTGTGTGTGTGTGTGTGTGTGTGTGTGTGTGTGTGTGTGTGTGTGTGTGTGTGTGTGTGTGTGTTGTGTGTGTGTGTGTGTGTGTGTGTGTGTGTGTGTGTGTGTGTGTGTGTGTGTGTGTGTGTGTGTGTGTGTGTGTGTGTGTGTGTGTGTGTGTGTGTGTGTGTGTGTGTGTGTGTGTGTGTGTGTGTGTGTGTGTGTGTGTGTGTGTGCCCCTGCGCATGTGGAGGAAGACACGAAGACCCTTGTGCAGAAGATCTCTGACAATGAGGACATGCGTGAAGGTGTCACTGCCTGAAGCTTTGGCCCACGAATCGGACACAAGTCTTTGCGCAAGTCACAAGACATGTGCCCCGCCTTGGAGGAAGACACGAAGACCACTTACGAAAACTTGTCCGGGAGTCTCAAAGTGCCAATGGTCGATCAACAGCCGCATGATTCCCAGTACAGATGAGCTCCGCTTCTGAGCATCGGAGCAGATGCTGTACATCTTCACCAGGTGATAGGCTGAGGAGACGAGAATGGCAATCTGTGTGCGGGGCGAGGTGAAGGCCAAGCAAAGGAGCATGCTGAGCACCTCGCGCGACCAATACATCACCAGCACCCCGGCGATGACCCAGTGCTGGCCCTTCTGCAGCATGGAGATCCCGTATCTCCGGTCCAGCTGCTGGCAGAACGGGTTAAATAGCACGTTGCCGTGCTGCAGCATAACCCAGGCTTCGTGGAGAAACAGACAATCCAGGCTGCTCACTTGCCAGCTGCCACCCAGGCGCAGACCATCCATGACGAAAAGGAAAAAGGAGTACATCAAAGACCCGATTTGTATGGTAAACATTGCCGCCAGCAGTCGTTTGTTCGCACCGCCTCCGCGCTTTTGTTGCCTGGTGTCTTTCCAGAACTGCCCTGCTCGGGGGTGTAATAAATCGCACACGGCGCATGGATCCGTGGATTCCGGGCTTAGCAACTTCTCGTCTGGCCGGCGCGGTCCAAAGCCCAGGCAGTAGCGCCAGCCCTCCACCACCAAAGTCGAAGTGCTCTTCTGCGTCGCTTGGTTCAGAGTTGCATGGAGCAACCAAATGACGAAGGTCACGTGCAGCCAACCAATGCAGTCTCCAGCAAAGCCGGAGAATACCAGATCTCGCACTACAAAAACCTCGGACAGAAAGCAAGCAAGTCCTCTCCTGCCCACCCCTGCCCCTCCTTCCTAGCCCAGCCACATGAGTCAGCGTGTCGAACCCCTGCAGCCCAAATCGCAGAAGGCTGACCAGCTGGGCACCAAAGGTATGGAAGTGCCAGTGGTCAATCAGCAGCTTCATGATGCCCAGGGTTGGAGACCAACACCTTTCGCATATGCACCCATGGACAAACAGCCTTTCGTGTAATTTCTAGAGATCCTCCCCTAGATTTAATGTCAGTTTGGTGAGTGGCAGGGTCAAGTGTCAAACGAACAGGAAGCAAAAAGTGGGGAGAAGCTTTGTGGGGTGCTGGACGAGCCTAGTAAGATGTGCTGAAGCACGGAAAAGAAGTGCCAGTTCACATCCCTCCTCCAGCCCTGGCTTCAGCCAAGCTTCCGCTGCGCATCCTTGCAAACGCTGAGCATTTTCACCATGTGGTACACAACGGAGCCAAATATGGCCACTTGAGTCTTGAACGATAAGTAGGGCAAGCACAGCAACATGCTGGCCACTTCGCGGGACCAGTACATCACCAGCACACTGGCAATAACCCAATGCTGCCCTCTGCGGAGCATCGCTATGCCATACTGTCGATCTAGCCGCTGGCAGAAAGGGTTCAGAAGAACATTGCCGTGCTGAAGGGTCACCCAAACCTCGTGCAAGAGGAGCAATATCGCCACCTCAGCCCATGTCTTTGCGCAAAAAAAAAACACGCACCTGCCCCAAGCGGCAACATGGCACATGGACCTGGGCAAGCAACTGTGTGGGCTCCACCTGGCACCTCCGAAGCAGATGGCCCGGAGAGGCGCAGCATTCCGAGCGCCCAGCACATGGCTGCATAACCTCAGCGCGCACGGCGCCCCAAGCACAGCGCCCGGCGCACTGGCCGACGCGTGCCTCAGACCCCGAAGAAAATGCGCCAAGACTCCCGTGCAGCCGCTGACCGCCGTCAGAACGGCGGACACCCAGGCAGCCATGACCGTCATGGCGAAGGTGCCCCTCTGCGCGCCCAACTGAGACACGCCAAGCAAGCTGAGAGCCGCAAGTTTTCAGGAGCTGGGAGGGTTCAGCATCTCAAGCCAAGCGGAGCAAACATCCAAAGGCACAAGTCTTCACCCAAAGCAAACCGGAACCGGTATGTTTCTTCCCGCCTCACAGATCCACGGCTCCAAACGCGTTGACTACAGCATGTTGAGACGGCGCAAGGCCTTGCTTTCTAGCAGCAATTTTGCCACCAGCTGAGAGCAGCTGGTGATTCACGAAACTCACTGCGAACTGATTCACCGGGAATCCCCCTCTCGTGTGGACCGCCGGCTGGGCGCAGTTTTGCTGCGGGCAGTCCTGCAAACAAGATGAGCCAAGCCAAGTGCTTAAACCCTACGTAATCAACGCTTTGTGGGCTCCCTTGTTCGGCCACCTTTGGCATTGCTCTCCAACAGTCCCCCCCCCCCCCCCAAACCCCCAAAAAAAAAACATGGCTGAGGATCTATCTCTCCACCTTTTTCTGTCCCCTTTTAGCCGCTAAAACGGCTCACCTGCCAAGGCCGCCAGCCCTCCGCGTTGGTCTCCATGTTGCTCCCCACCACCGCGAAGGCCCGCGCCAGGCGCTCGAAGATCGCCACCTCCCGCGCGACCCGCCCTCCCGGCGCCCGCTTCGAAGCCGCCGCCGCCGAGGGCGACTGCGACTCCGAGACCGCGGTGAAGCCGAAGTGGACCTCCATGTCGAGGGTGCGGATCCTCGGTTGCGAACTCTGCTCCCCAGGTGACTGACTGACTGACTGACTGGTGGTTGAATACGGAAACATGTGTTGGCAAAAAGTTAAACGTCCAAGCAAAATGCACCAAAGGATCTTCGCCATGTCGCCTGTCCAGGGCCCTTGCTGCTGTGTTGGGCGCATGGGTGTGTAGGGGGAGGGGGGTGAATGTAATGAGCCTGTCCCGGGCCCCTTTCGACTCTTCTTTCCACGTACATAAATTTGATTGATGCCTTTGTTTTGGATCAAACGGAAAGCAAGCCACACGCTTTTGAGGTCCCCCATTTTCGAGACACCCCCATGTACCAATATTGCCCTTGCCATGCTTGGGCCCACGGGTGTTGGGAATCCTTGGGTCCATCGGGGGGGGGGGGGATGTAATGATGTAAAATGATGTAATGTGATGCGATATGATTCATGTAATATGTTGTATAACGATGTAGTATGATGTAGAATGATGCAATATGATGTAATATGACGCAATGACGCAATATGACGTAATAGAATGACATGTGATGTAATGATGTAGTGCTTGGTAGAATCTAGCACAGTATCCCCAGTGATGGCAAAACTCCAGATGGAAGCGGCCCAACAATGATGAAAGATCACATCTTTGAAAGTTCCCGCCTGGGTGACTCAACAAGTCCTCAAGGACGGACCACTCCGAGCCCTCCACATCCATCTTGAGGTGTACCGAGAGCGGGGCCTTGTGCTCCAACAAAGTGGGCAGCGCGACATATGCCCTATCCTCCACCGTGGTTGTGGAAGGGCCCAGGCACGTCCGAAACGCCTCGTAGGCGGTTTCATAGCAATGGCCCTTCACGTCGGTGCACGGTCCTTGCGCATTTGGCGCCTTCATAGCAAGGGGTGGCGATGAGCTGGGATCCTGAAAGCAATCATAGAGCTTGGTCTTCATGTGAAAGAAGTTGCTCATGGTTTCACTCCACAAATCCCGCTGCTCGATGCCAAAGGAAAGCCCGACTACACCTTCTTCTCCCGCGAAGGCTGCCAAGCACCAGGCAGCATCGCCAAATTGCTTGAATCCCTGACAGGCATCCTCAGACGTTGCGTTGCTCGGGATTGCTGCGTGCACGACACGCTCACCCAGTTCGGAATTCCAGGAGTCGTGGGTCTTGTAGGGCCATTTCTCTGCAGAAGGCAAGCACGGCACTCCAGTGCGTGCTGCTTGGGGGCACTCGGGCCAGCATGCAGGTTTGCAGCCCTCTCGCCGCAGAATCCGATCAGAATTATGAAGAACAGCCACTGCTCCAGCAAGGGACAGGGAGCAAAGAAAGCTGCGAATGCCTGACATGGCCACACACGGCTGCTACCTTGAGCATGCTCACAGGTCCACGGACGGGCTGCAACAACACCAGCGGGCTGCGCGCAAACATGCGGCAAGTTCAGTGGTGCCGCATCAAACGCCAAGTTGACAAAGCGCCCCCTGCGGCCCAGGCATGCAAGAGGATGGGCTCTTCGGCGCGCGGGCAGGCACTTGACCTAAGGCGGATAACCTGGGTGAATTCAATCCGTCACCTTCTTGGGTCACATTCCCCGAGACCAGCTTTAAGAATCTGGTGTCCTGTGTGAGGTAGCCGGGGTGACGACAGGGCTCAGCGCGGCACATTGGCTTCAAAAACTTACAAGGAATCTTGAGACTGGAGTCAAGAAAAGACAAAGACTTTTACTGAGCATACCAGACCCCTCCTCCGAATTTTGAGACTGGAGTCGTGTTAATCTAAAAGAAAATTCATTTGGTGCGCCACAACCCTCCTTCCACCCCTCACCCCTGAAAAGGTAACTGGCCAATCAGGCCTCTCCATCTTGAGCTCGCAGCCAGCCATCTCGGATGTGCAGCGCCGAGAAGGTGCCGAACTGACAAGTTCACGCGCTGCCAGCTACCAAACTGCTCACATGAGAAGCCACTGCCCGCGCAGCTTGGTGAGTTAGAGCCGGATGGTTTGGAGGTCTTCAAACTGGGTTTCTCAACTTACCCTCTACAAGAACCAAGGCACACACTGTCTAGAAGGAAAGTGACTTGGGCTTGCATCTTGCCTCTGCGTAGAAGTCCTCTGCTGACTCACACTCACTTTTCTCGGCCTGAGTTTGCGAACAAGCCCAACCACTTTCAACATACGTTCATCGCTGCTGCACAATGCTTTCGTGAGCCCAAAGGTTGTTGGAGCTGAGAATCTGGCTGCACCCTGCTCGTTGCCGGGGCACCAGCAGATTCGGAAAATGCCACCAGAGACAACTCGCCTCATGGCCACTCCGGCAAATCAAGGTTTGATCTCTATTTGGTGCGTGGGCCCAGTATGCCGAGCTCAAAACAGTTCTGGCCAGGTGAGCATGGGATTCCCATCGGTTGAGCCTGACAGCTGAAGCCAAGCAACGCGTCAAAGACCAGAAAAGAACCACGAAAGCAGCATGCCCCCGGTCCTAGTATGCCCGGAGTGTTCGGCGCTTCGGCGAGCGGCCCTCGCCTTTCGCAATGGCACATGCTCTTCGCACCTCTTCCAGGTCAAACGACCACCGCACTTCAGGGGTCACTGGATTGCCCCTTCAAAAGTTGCCATCTACTGGCGGCTTCCATTGAAACTGCCACTTTGGAGGCTCCGAAAAGGGAAGTGGAAGAAACCCGGCACTTCCAAAAGGAAAAAGCACAAGGCGAGTTCGCGGCTTGAGGCGAGTTCGCTGGTCACTTGGACTGGGGCGCGCGCAGTTCAGAGGTATGCTGCTCCGACCTGAGACCAAATCTGGAGCTGGTTGCCGCCATGACGCGAAAGCCGCTCTGAGCGGCGCTCTGAGCGCCGGTCCCTGGGTGACCGCATTGGGTGCTGAAGTCTACGACCCTCACCTGGAAGGCCAATCACAGGCTGGCATCACATTTCAAAGTCCGCACCAAGCTTGCCCTACGTCCAAGCTTCGTATATAAGCGCCACGCGCGATCTTCGACTGATAGCTCGGGGCCCTCAATCAAAGGGAGAGTGTCTGCAGGAAATCAACGATTGACATCTTGGGTTCCTGCCACTAAGTCGACAGAGAAGACCACGTGTGGCAACACGCGCAGCCTCTAGAAACATGGCAGACATAGACGTTGCAGTCAGCCAACATCCATAGCTTAGGCGATTTGTTTCGCTTTGGCCTGCTTCCATCGCACCCAACACCGGCGACACAAAACCATAGATCAATCCCAACTGCGTGGTTTCTCCCCCCCTCCCTCAGCCCCCCCCTCCCTCACGCCCCCCTTCGTAACGAAAACGAAATGTGCGCGCGTGCCCTTGTCGCAGTTTCCGGGGTCGCTGCTCGAAGCCGCCGGACGCCTGCAAGCCTGGGACACGGAAAGCGGGGTGAAGAGAAGTCCTGATTCAAACTTGGCTGGAATTCGGACCCCAGCAACAAACTATTTGTTTTTCCTGGAAAAGAAAGGGGACCCCAAAAAAGGAAACAATCAACATGCAAAGCGAAGAAAAGGGGCTGTGGCTTCGTTGCTGCTTTTGCCGTGTGTCTCTTATTTCTCACTTGTTTGAGGGAGTGGAATGGCAACATGAGAGCAGGGCACCGACTTTGTGGTACACGTCTTCGCCATGTGTTGTTGACTTGCTGATGTTCCATCTGGTTTTTCCCAAGCCATGCCGTGGGCATGGCCGCGTCGGAGCTTCCTCTCAAGCTGGCAACAAACGCACGCCACAAGGCCACGGCGCAGATCGGGCCAGAATGCCTGGACGCTGCCTGAGCTCGAGCAGCAAGCAGTAAGTGACGCAAGCTGAAAACGCGGCTGGCGCTGCTTCCAATCAGCTCGCAACGCAACGAAGAACATACTGTGGATACCGGGGTATCATCAGAAACGCTGGTGCGCTACGGATGTTGCAACCATCCACGGCTTTTCGGTCGCGAGGCGCCGGCCAATCTCAACCTGGAAGTCGATATCTCGACCGCAGCTTCTGCCTGCCACGCCCAAACGCCTCTCTCCGGGCTAGCGGCTAGGGGCGGTGCCCAAAGCCTCGGCCCGAGCAAAGGCAGACGTAGTACAGCCCGCTCCGCGACAACGCCAGGGGCCCCCACCTTGGGCTTTCCCCCGCGAGGCAAGCCCCACCCACCATAGCATGCGCTCAGGAGATTGTCATAACTGCCACGATCCACGCGAAGAACTAGGCTTCCTCTGGCGTTTGTTCTCTCCTTCGCTGGGTGGTCGGCGTCTGGGCAGTGTTGGGGTCGCCACCACTCCCCGCCGCATTCGGGTCCTGAAAAAGCAAGAAAGCAGAACTGCCGCTCAATGGCCACTGGAAACAGGTTGTCCATCCATCCATCCATCAGACAAAACTGAACTGCACCGATACAAACAAAGCCGAACCGAAATGACGGCCAAACAAAAGTGGTGATGCAGCCTCAGCCAGCTGACCGCGAAGATGCTCTGTGCCGTTGAAGGTCCTTGGTAAAACCACGGCGCAGGCACGGAAATGACGCAAGGCACGGAAATGCACGGCTGGAGGAGGCGAACAAGTTCCCACCAGAAGGGTTGGGCTGAGCAGAATGGCGTGGCTGCACAAGGGGAAGGCAGCCCTTTCACTGGATGCTCCAAAATTGGTGAGCCACAAGGCTGGCACCCTTCTTGGCCACAGCGCAGGGGTGCTAACACCTCAGCGCCACCCCATGCCAGCACATTCCTAGCAGTACTTTGTGCTGAGCCTTCGACCAGCCTGAGCCTTTGCGACTGTCCATCACCCAGGCCAAATCCCAGCACCTGTGCAGCACCGTTGCTATGGCGCACAGGAGCAAACGCAACCAATGGACATGACAAAGGAAACGTCATCTACGCATGCCCCGGCAATGTTCACAAGATGGCTTCCGGAAGGTCTATAAAGCTTCTTCGAGAGCTGGGCGAACGTGCCCCGAAATTCTGGGCCGCGCGCTGTGAGGGAAAAGTTCACCCCAACCTTAGCGCAAAGTAGCATGATGATGGAAAGAGATGTCACCTCCCTTCACCAGCCATTTCTCTCTTCTTGGCTGGTCACCCTTTCCCTTCATCTCCTCGTCTTTCCTGTTGACGAGGTAAGATGAGATGAAAGTAAAAGAAAAGCATTCTAAAGTTGTATCTAGAGATTTCCAAGATTCTAGGAGATACAATATGAAAGAGAAATAGCTTCAGAATCCATTCCTTCGTGTCATCTGGATTCTTCTGGCGGTTTGGAGCTGTCCACGGGGTGCTGCACCAATTGGTACCAAGAGCTGGCGAGTTGTAGTGCAAAGGGCAAGCCCCCTATCCATCAAACCTACAAAACCCACTCACCAGCTCGGGCTTGGCTGACAAAGTGAGTGAGACCATTCTGCCACGTCGGCAAAACGCACTTAGCATCCTGCGCGCACCATGCGCCTGTCAAAGCCCTCTGCGCCAGTGACCTGCCCAAATGTGCCAATGCCAAGGAGACAAGGCATCAAGACTCCATGTTTTGTGTTCTGCATGCCTAGTAACACCTCAAGTAACAAGGTGACTTGACCGTGGCACAGGTGAAGCCGGCACACTGAACCGCTTCGCAGTGCGGAATGCCACCTCCCCCATCTTAGCACTGCGCCTCAAGCCGAGTTGGCCCGGCAATGGAGAAGTTGCCAAGGTCAAGGTCAAACCTCTGCATGCTCGAATTTCAGGCGTGTTTCGGAGCCTTGCCTCTGCAAGAAAGCCCGCTGGTGAAATCAAGCAATCCCAGGGACCAGGCATAGCATCAGAGTTGCAGATCACTGCTCCTGCCTGAGGTGCCAATTGGCACGGTACACACAACCCTCAGCGCCTCAGCACCCTGGGATCTGGCAGACACATTCTCGGCCATCCAATCGTCAAACAGCATCGTGTCGTTGCTGAAATTGCTGTCATTCTCACCTCAAGGCTTTCGGCATCAAAACCGTGAGGGCCACAAGCAATCATGCAACCTCACCATGGCACGTGCCTTCGGCACACCTTTTTGCGGGCACAAGCCTTGCCACTTGCGGACATCTACGCCTCTGTCCAGGGTGCTTCATGCCCCCGCCCCATACCCCAATCTGCGGGAAGCTGATCTAGAGCTCACAGACCCAACCTAGCGTCCCTGCTCCTTGTCAGAGCTTGAACGGTGAAACATGCCGTAACTCAGAGGTCCCCAGCTGAACCACGCCACCCAAGCTGTTGAATCACTCAAAGCAGTAGGAAGACGGAAAATGCATCGCCCACGGGAACTTCGTTCGGATGGTCTTCGGAAAGACCTTCTCGATGCAAAGGTCCACCTGGGCAAATCGAAGGGAAGCGGCAAGCAGTTGTGCCGGTCCGGGTGGTCAGCACAAGTGCTGCCCAAGTGGCCTTCTTGCACCATGCGACGGTGATCCTGGGATCCATGTAGTTCACCTTCGAAGTCCCCAATGACACAGTCTTGTTCGCCTCCTTGTTTTCGATGGCGCTCTTGTGCTTCTCCATCCGAAACCTAACTTCCGTCATCTTCCTTGGCGGAAGGAGCTGCCTAACGGATCCAAGAAATGGCATCAGATGCCTTTGCTTGCCCTACAACACACTCTCACTGGCCATATATGCCTACGCTCCAAAAAACGAGTTGCTGTGCTTGAACACAGCTCAGTGTCTTGCAAATCACCGACTATTGCTCAGAACGTTTCGGCATGGACTTTTTTTGTTGCCTCATGTCCCGTCCTCTTCGTTCCCTGCAGGTCCTTGGGAAGCTTCGTCGCAGACTCCTGGCAGACGAGTTCCTCCCTTTCCCTCGACAGCCCTCAACTGGGTCAACCATGCGGTCCTTGATAGGTCTTCCTTCCTGTAGGGCATGCAAATTCCGCTTGAGCTGCTTGTAATTCTTCTCCAGGTCTGTCACGACCTTTTGCATCTTCTCTACTGATTGAGCATGCCCCTTGGACTCAGCCTTCTGGTGATTACCTGGACACTCATCGTAAGTTGCAAGTGCCCGACACACAAACTACGGACACTCCTGGCTGCCACAAATGCTGAGGACATCATGTTTCTTTCCAAGCAGCACAAAATCGCCACCTGTCGGTTGGCGTCATTGTAGAATTGGTACAGCTGGTCCTGGCCCCAGAAGTGGAACCATGGTGCCCGCTCTGCCTGGGGACTACTCACAGCGGGTCCTGGGAGAAGGCCTGTCTCTTGGACATGTCGAACTTTGACAGTTCGTTCTGCAGAGTGAAGGAGGCATTGTACGTGCGGAACACCTTGGCCGACAAATCCTCCATGAAAGTCTTGAAGTACCTGGAGAATCGCATTATCAGCTCGTCATACACTAAGGAAGAAGCACACAAGAAAAAGACAAACAAAGAAATCCAAACGATTCAAAGCTCAGGCATCCAAGAAGCTCGTTGAGATCCGACGGCGTGATCTTGTCAAAGACCTGATCCGTCTTGGACTTGCCGTGTATGAAGCCCTTGACATTCTCAAAGACCCGCGGAGTCACCTCCACGCTGTTGGTGTACCGGATCGAGTCCTGGCAGGAAAAGCACTTGCGCCGCGAGGGGCAGCCACCACAAGCTGTCCAGGAAAGTATCAAACTCGGCGGGGGAACTCAACATGCTTACACGTGGGCCATCTCGCTCGCTCTAAACGAAAGAAAGCCCTGTTGAGGGTCCTTAAGTCCTTGAGGCATGCCCATTTTCAAGGGAACCCTCCCTTAGTGGCGTCCTTACCCAAGAAGTCCAGGGAGATGGTCGAAGGCTCGCTGAGCTCCAGGTGCTCCACACGTAGGGAGCAGCAGCCCACCGTGTCCGCCTCCTCCTCGGTGTCCTTCTCCCCGCCCACACGCAGCGCCAACTTGTCGATGAAATACGTGGCCGTGGCCTTCTGCCTCTCAACGATGTTGTTGCCTTAGCAAAAAGCCCAAATGTACGCCGAGGGGCCGCAAGCGAGACCTCTTCGCTTTTTTGGCATGTCTCGGGGCCGCATACGGACCAAACAACCGGGGACGCACGTTCCCATGTTGCAAGCCGCTTTTTGGGCCGAGCTGCTGTGCTGCAGCTTCTCGTAGGAAGCCCGGATCTTGTCAATGGTGGCCACCAGCCGCCTGGCACGGTCGTACTTGAGCATGTCTGGCTGGCCTTTCAAGCCGCTGGTGGCGGCGAAGGACACGTACTTGGCGTCCCCCAGCAGCCCATCCTCGAAGGTGGCGATCCACTGCACCGCGTTCTCATGCACCACGTCTCGCCAGGCATGGCCCGGCATGCCCAAGACTTTGGGCACGCAGGCGGTCTCCCCGATGTTGATTGTCACACCTTTACGTTCACAACAGCATGATTCAAATCACCCACCCTCAAAACAAAAACCTCACACCCACCCAAATCGCCAGCAGAGAGCCTGTCAACGCAAGATATACGTGTATCTATATATATATATGCGTACAACAAATTAAGGAAAAATGCCAAGAAAACTAGACCCAACATTTGCATCTCGCGATTCAGGCTTGTCAAACCTCCAGCTGAGCATCTCTCTGGGAAGGTCCGCTTTTTCAGCAGCCCCTGCTTGGGATGTTCCCCGCGACCACGGAAGAGCTGTGGTGGCTCTAGCCTGCATCGCACCGAAGGATTGCTCGTGGGACCATGCTCCCACCAAAAGGGGGGAACCTCCTTGGTCAGGTTGAAAGGGCAAACGTGAGTGACCTAATCATGTTTTGTGTGCCGCACTTTGACACTTCTATCAAGATCGCTGTTTTGGACAACCTGGCTTCCTAAAAGAAGCAGGTTCTGGACACTTGAAATGTACATTTGCCCGCCTGAAATTGCCCAGCTTCTCTCGAACTCCGTTGACTATGGCGTGGCCTGAGGCCAGCATTACAAACGCGCAGGCGGAGATTGCAGACCATATGGCTGGGGTTGCCCTGGTAAAAGGAACCAAGGACTAAACCTGCGCTCCCCTGGTGGTTTGATTTGACCCACACTCATATGCAGTTCCGGTGCTATACCACTCCGTGTCCTTGGCAGTCTTCGCCTTCTCGGATTCCTGGCAAGGGGCCCCCAAAACCGTCCCAGCTCAAGCTCGCAGTCTCTGGCCTTCTCCTCCTTGCTGCGGTTCAGCCGCTTCTGCCGCTCCTTCTCCCTGTGCTCAGACCTCGGAGCTTCTGGAGGCCATGCAGCCGGCTGCGAGTCAGCCAGGCCGCATCAAGGAGAAGTCGCACTTCTTGAAATCCTTGATGGTCGTGTCCTTGGGCAGGAAATCCTTGAAAGTCTTCCAAAAGTTCTTGATGAATATGTCCTGGGGTTGCACAACCTCCGGCACATGGCCCCGCACATGTCCACGCACAAAAAACACACAAATGCACCCACCCGGTCACCCCGCTCCTTCGACTCATATGGAGTACCCTTGACAGAGGTCCAGTAATAGGCGATCTCTTCCTCAGAGCGCGCGTGCGGCGTGCGGGAGCGAGCCGCGCACGTCTGGCCACTACTGGAAGCCAGGGCGCTGCTTCCTGAGGCAAGTTGACTTTCTGGCCATCATAAATCAGTGGAATCCCGTGTGCCTCGTAATCTGGAGCAAAAAGAAGCCTAAGCCGCCAAAGTCTGGAGCAGAAAGGCAAGCCCAAGAGGACTCAATGACTGGCATTGCTTTCCTTCCCTTTCCTTCCCTTTGCTGTCCGCGCAGCCCGTGGTGCTCGAAGGTGTCCCACTTCTTGGCTCCACGCTTGCCACTCTCTGCGCCATCTGCGCGCTCCCACCATCTGTTCACCGGCTCGTAGTCATCCTCAGTCCTCGGCCGGCCCCCCAGGCATTCAGCGAGCGTCACATTTTAAGCGTTGCACATGGGGGGTGGGGGGGGGGGGGAGGGGGGCCTGGGGCAGGAAGGCGCCCGAAACGCCCTGGGCGTTAGAAATGCGGGCAATCACACTGCATACCAGGGGGAAGATCAGCCAAACGCCGAGAAATGCGTGCAGGAACCAAAGTTGGAGCAGGATGTATCTAAATCGCGAGGATGTGCTCGAGAGGTCCTATCCTTGCTTGCACGGTAACCACGCAGGCATATCGGCATATTTGTCCATACTTGACTGCCTGCACCACAAAACGGCACAGCATACGAGCACCAGTTGTGAATGAGAACAACAATGACAACATTTGCCTCACAGTGACGGTGCCTTGTTTTTGTCTTTGCAGCTTGCTCAAGACAGAGGCATTGGCACGCTTGTATTGCAGGGCCAAGACTGCCAGGCCGGTAGCCTAGAATGAAACATCCCAAACTATCCAAACTCACAAATTGAGGGGACTAGTCCTTGACAGTAGTCCAGTGTCAGCCTGAGAGAAACAAAGTCTCTATTGGCCGAGCGGGAAACACAAGGTCTGTCTCAAAGTAGGGGAACCCTTGTTGGCGGGTTTTAAAGGGAAACCAAAGAGGAACCAAAGGGAAACCAAAAAGAAACCAGGGGGAATGGGTCTCTAACTTTGGGAAACACCCAAAATTTACAACCTGCACCAGTGTCGCCAGGACTCTTCAGCAGAACCTTTTGCTCCGCGGCAGTTTTCGCCTTCTTCGCGACCGGCCAGGTTTTCGCCTTCTGGAGCGCGGGCTTCGCCCTTACTTTGCTGGTCAAACTGGGGTCCCGAATCTTCAGGGGAAAGCACGACAATCTGGCATTAGGATTCAGGGCTGATTTGAACAATTCAGATTTTGCAGGACATCGGCAGGTCCACTCACTCACATAAAACGCCACCAAGTGTCCGGACAGCGGTCTTATCATTGTCATGCTTGTGATGGTGGTGCTTATGTTTTTTCTCCTTCTTTTTCTCCTTCTTATCCTTTTTGTCCTTCTTCGCCTTGTCCTGACGACTGCCCAAATTGAGACTTGATCCTCCTGCATCAACAAACGCGCACCAGTCCTTATCCTTATGCTTCTTTTCCTTCTTCTCTTTCTTCTCCTTTCCCGGCTTGCCTTCTTGGTTGGCCTTCTCTTTCTTCTCCTTCTTCTCCTTCTTGTCCTTTTTCTCCTTCTTCTCCTTCTTCTCTTTCACTTCCTTGCAGGTCAGGTGAAGCCGCTGCAAACAACCCGGCTCAGCCCGGCTCCTTATCAGGCTTCTCCAGCTCCACCATTGTTTGCATGCCACTTCCGCCCTGGCAGCTGGGGCGAGCCTGTCAGACATTACCGCAAAAGCGCTCGAGCCAGATGAGACCCGAGCGAGCAACACCAACCAGCGTGACTGAATGACCTCCAAAACTCCCCCTTTTACTCAGATGCCCAGTGGCCATGGCAAAAAAAGGCATCCATTTTTGGGGTTGGTTAACTTTGAAGAAAACCCTTCTTAAAAAAGGAAAGAAGGGCACCACTGGGCAACTAGGCTTGCGTCACACCACAAAGGCGCATGCAAGCTTCCAACAACCTCATCTCAGCTTGCAGAGTGTGCACTTGGCCCCTGGGCTCTCATTGCTGCCGTTCTCTCCTCGCGCGCCAAAACCGCGCGAGCACCATGCGGGCTGAGTGTCAAAACCGTGAACCTGCGGCTTGGCGCGCAGCCACATCCAAGAGCCCCAGTCCTGCAGCCTCGTACGAGGCCTTGGGCTGTGGACGAAGCACCCTCTCTCTCCCTCTCTCCGCCCTCTGTTCTATGCTTGAATGCGATCCGCCTGGCTCAGCGCGGTCTTCGCGCAAGGCAGAACATATGAGTCACAATCCAAACCCTGGTACAAAAATGGTGAACCCAGAACCATGTAAAGAATTGGAAAGGCGGCCGCAACCATTTCCGGCTGGGACTGCCCCTTACTAACCTTCATCTACCGGGTTTTGATTGTGGCTCATATCAACTTATTAACCACCCCCTCTGTGCCTTTGGTCATGCCTCAGGCAGAAACCAAGGCTTCAGTTCCGAGAGCTGTTGAAAGACTCGCGTGGCTATGTCCGCGGACTCCTTGCTCTTGTCCGGATGCCATCGCAAGCACAAAGCACGCCTCAGGGAAGCCAACTGCGTTGCCTCTTTGGGGAAGGCCCAGATGCAACTCCCCGGGACTCTCGCGCGGCTAAGGTGAAAGCAACTGAGGTCCCGGCCAAACTCGCTTCCGCGACTCCAGTGGCTCGTGGCGTTGGGAGGACAACTCGCGCAGAATACTCGACGTCTCCGGCGTGGGGTGATCCACCTTTGGAGGCTTTGGCTCCTGCGCTCCTGGCCGGTGCCGGCCAGGCGGCGCATCTCCGGGGTCCCTCTGCCACTCGCTGCGCGCATGGCGCTCGTCACGCTGCGAATCCGGCTCAGCCCGCTCTGATTTCGGCATGTACCGCCACCACCTGGTTCGCCAACTTGCGCCTTCTCGGGCCTCTGCCTTCTCCCAGGCGTCATGCTCCGCAGCCGCCTTCTTCTGCTTGATGTCTTGCGCCAGCTTGTCAAACCAGGCCTCTTGGGCGCAGCGGCGCGCTGCCGCCTCCGCCTGCTCCTTCTGGATGTGAGCCAGGAGCTCCTGCCTCTCCAGCTCGGCCGCTGCTTCTAGCTCTTGCATCCGTCTCCGATGCTCACACTGTCTCGCATCGCGCTCACGAGCCCTCTGGAGCTCCTTCTCCGCATCTTCTGCTTCGCTCCTTCCCACGTCCTTTTGCTTCACTTCCACCGGGGGAAGCTTCTGGACTGGCACTTCTCTTGGGGCTCGTAGCTGTCTCACCGCCTCCGCTTGGACCTTCAGGCGCCTGGCTGCATCTTGCAACTGCGCGGCCCCGTTGGTGGTGTCCTTCTCGATTTCTGGCTCGGTGCCAGCCAGCAGCGACTCGAAGAAATCCAGGGCCTCCCGGGTGGGCGGCTTGCCAGCCGGTCTTTCCAGCTGGCTCTTCTGCAGCAGCTGCTGGCGTCGCTTCTCTAGGAAGACCGGCATGCTTTGCCACCGCTGCCAGCTGGATTGGTAATCAGCCTTTGCCATGGGTTCAGCCTGTCGCATGGGTCGCCCCAGGCCAGCCTCTCCCGATCGGCTCTCGGCAATGGCTGCGCCTGTGCCGTCACAGCTCACCATGGCGCTTCATGGCATGCAGGGGCATCGCAAATTGTCAGGTCGACTACATACTAGTACCACTTCTGGGCCACTTGAAAGCCAGAAGCGTCACGCCATGCACGCAATAGCAAGTGTGCATGAACAAGCTGACCGCAAAGGACTGAAGACATGAAGGCAGCAGACTCGCGAAACAACTGTCTGGGGGTATCACCTGAAGGCGGCGGAAAGCAGCAAAAGCGGGGCCGTAGTCCTCCCACACTGTCAAGACGGATCATTTGAAAACCAAGCCAAAACTACAAGGCCCTCTGATGTGAGCATCACAAAAGTGCTGGCATTTGTAAGCGGGCAAGTATAAAAAGGCGGCCATTTCTGGAGAGAAAGGGGCAATTAAACGCCAATGTCCTCCCAGGAGAACTCGTAGTCCCAGCTGAAGTTGGAGTCATTTGTGTCATTCCTGGGCAGAGCTTGTTTTTCAGCCTCCCACCCCCCTCCGTTGTTCACCCCCCTGTATCGTTGCAACGTCGCTTGCTGCAACCTGGAGGGAAGAGGAGCAAAACGATGAAAAAATTCTGGGGCAGCGACGTGATGTTCACCTGCCAGCGAGGCAGCTGAGACAGCAACCCTCAAGTGCTTGCGCTCCCCGGCTGGCCCGGCCGGCTGCAAAAGATAGCTCTGGCAAAGCTGTTTGCGCGGCTCGCGGCAAGTGATTCTGTGATAGCCATTGTTTACCCATCTTTCTGGCTCTGGCCAACAGCTTTGTCCACTCAGCCCTTCGAGCTCAATTTGCCTCGCCCGGCGGGAAGGGGAACAAATCCGTCATGTCCACCTGCGCAGTGCCGTGCGTGTCGGTTCCGCCACGCTGCCAGTGAGGCGAGTGAGGCGGGCACGTCATTCTGACCAGCATTGGTGGGCCTGTCGGGAATGCGCGGCACATGGGCACCTGACGTGGCCTGAAACAAACTTCACATGCAAGAAAAAAAATGCCTCAGCGCTGAGCACCAGCACACCTCAATCCAATTCACTCCCTTCCCTCCTTTCTTTTGTTCTTCCTTTCCTTCCTTCCTCCACTTCATGAATCTACTTTCCTTGCTGTACATCTTTCCTTCCCCCCGCCCCACCCTCCCTCTCATGCCACATTCCGAGCTTGTGGCTCGATACATGCCCGCCGTGGTCGTTGCCAAGTCAGACCTCAGAGGTTGCGTCTGGGCTTCAGAGATGCGCACGGCTCAGGCATCCCGGCCACACCAAAGATGCATTCTCGCCCGTGGGGTCAAGACCGGCTCCAAGAGGGCCCTGAGCTCTACAAGGATTGGGCGCTGTCAGGAGCCACACCAACTCCTGGTGTTAAATGGTTCTTGCTAGTTGGAAGTATCTGACCCGCAGAACAGAGGCTTGTGCGGCTTGCAATCCAAAGGCATGGCACCAACACGACCACGCAGTTGCGCAGCTGCAAAGTGAGGCTGCTACCCGCAACTCTGGATGGTATCCTTGCTCATCTTTGAGCTCCAACTGGCCAACCTGGCAGGAGAAGGCCGGCGAAAGAACGCCAGGAGCTGGAAATCCAGCTACGTTGAATCTGCTTGAAGTGCGGCCACGCTGGAGAGACATCTCACGCTTCAGCACGCCCGGACAGAGAAAGTGACGCACATGCCCACGGGGCAGTGCTCGGCTGGCCCAGGGAGGCCACCACCTGAATGCCCGGCTTCACCTCAGAGGCTCCCCTCAAAGGCCCGCGGGCCCGCGGGCCCGGCCGAAGGCTCCCGCAGAGGCCGCCGTCACCCCGACGCCAGGCCCCAGGAAGGCCTGCGCCGCATCCGTCGTCCGGGCCGGCGTCGGGCGGGCGCGGGGCGGGCGTGGGGCGTGGGCGGGCGCGCCTGGCTGGATGTTGCTGACCCCGGGCCGCCGCACCTTAGGAACTCTGATATACCAGGTGGATGGGCGCACAGAGATTCATATCGATACAAATGTTACACACATGCATATTGACAGGACAAGTTTACACTTGTCACCAATGACACACTGGCGCCCAAGCATCACGTCTTCATCCACCACGCGGATGCGGTCGAAGTCTACCTGTCCAGTGGCCACTTGTGCTTCAGATCTCACCCCAGCTTTGGCACAACAGCCTCCAGAGAGTAGCCACGTACATCCAAGAGAAATCGATCAAGCACCTTAAAACAGTGATGTCGTTGCAACAAGAAGGCTTCCCTGGATCAGCCCGGGGCATAAGGGGCACTCGAGCTCTGCGGGTCCTGCTCAAACTGAGAACTTGGATGTGCCAAATACATCGCGCATGGCAAAAGTCTCCTTCGCAAAAAGAAAAAAATAAGCGCGGGTATCGCCAACAGCCCCGCCCGGAGCTTCCCAGAACCCTCCCTGAAAGCTGCCCCACCCCAAAGACCCCATAGATCCCCATAGCTTTCAGCAGTCAGGGAGGGAGAAAAGAAGCACGCCGTTTGAGCTGCATTGGCCTTGCCAGGAACGCCGGAACGCCCATAGAGCACAGTTTCACTCGCACCAGGCCAGCACCCTACGGCCAGCACCCGCTCTCCTGCTCGGGTACGCCATCAGCCCCTAGCAGCTCCACTGGACCCACCTCGACTGGCGACGCCTGTAAACAACTTTTTTGGGATTCTCTTTGGGGCCTGGTCATTCAAAACAATTTTGTCCAAGCCTCAAGGGAAAGGGGAATCATTTCGAACACCAGTTGTGGCTCGTCTTCGAACACATGCACTGGTTGGCTGAGGCTAGTTTAGGGTTGTTCCGGGTTGGCTTGGGGGTTAGAGTTGGATTATGGCGGGTTTAGGTTGGTTTGCCCCGTGTTCAAAAACGAGGTGCTTCCCACCCTCAAAAGGAAGGAAGGGATGGAAATCACAGCGGAGCCGGGAGCCGGTTCACCACAAACCTGTGCCAAGTGAAAGGCAGTGACTTTGACGGCGTACTTGTATGTGATTCTGACGAATGGCCCGGCAGTGTCACAACTGGGACTCGGGCCACATGCAGAGGCCCACCTGGCCGGACCGCTGTCCGAACGCCACTCGGCGCATCAAGGGCCCGTGACTCCCTGCATTTTTTTCACTCAAAGACCTCACCAGAACCCAAGCCCAGCCCACCAACCCCGTCCCGCTCCACCCCCCGGTCTTCATGCGTGAAAATCGTGCCTGTGGCCAACTCGCAAAGCCGCCCGGTGACTCCCAGTGACTCCTCCCCCGGCCGCTGCTGACCTGGCCAAGGCCATCCGCTGGGCCAGACTTCTTGTCCCCAACCCCGCGCCTTCCGGTCGGCACCAGCACGCGCTGAAAATGCCTTCCAGTGTTCTGAAGACTTGGCTTGTTTCCCAGTAAGGGGCCAGGGTCAGAACGCAAGCCTGGACACCCAGCACTTAGCGCACGCGAAAGTGTTGAGTCAGCCTTGCGATTTTTTCGAGTCCGCATCATCTCTGGCCGCACTGGCATCCTCAGCTTAACAGCTTGCCATCCCTTTGCCGGCTTGATGGCCTGGGCAAAGGCGGCGGCCGTTTGCTCTCCGCTTTGGAGGAAGGCAGCGGCGGAAACATCTTCGGAATCTTTAGCAGCCGAGTTGGGTGGAAACAAAGAGTCACTCTGCATATCCTTCTCGAGGAGTCGCGCGACAGCACGACCGGATAGTAGCCAGCACCAAGGCCACTTGGAACAGCTGGCCCATCATCAATACCATCGTCACTGCCGCGGTCCTCATACGAGGCTGCGGTGTGACTGGGCATGGCAAAGTCAGCTATGTCCGCAGGATCTGCCAAGAGCAACTTGCCCGTCGGAAGCGTCAGCTCGTCAACACGGAAGAGTGCTCGGCACTCGTCATGCGCCCCAAGAGATGCAACTAGGCTGTCCGAGTCATTGCGTACCAAAGCAGCAAATTCAACCCGCACCCCAGCATCGCGGTTCAGGACAAGCCCAAAGTCCGCCAGACGAGCCACGAGCGTCCAGTTGGACCCTGGCTGCTCCGTATCAACGCAGCAGCAGTGAAAGCCTCCCAGATTCCCTGGCGCAGAGGCATCTCTATAGTGGTTCCAGTCTTCACCAACTCTCTTGTGATACTGGCCCGGGGCACACTTCATAGCAGCGCTGACTGGGACGAAGCAAATCTTCCCGGCATCGCTTGAACACCAATAATCCGGCGCACTCTGCGGCCAGTTGGAACTGTGTGGCTGGTTGACATCTCTCCTGTCCAAATGCCACAGCTCCTGTGTTTCTGCAGAGGCTGCATAGGCATCATCGAAATTCATGTCAGTCGCAGCTGCATCCAGACGCCGCAAGTCTGCGGAGCGCCCCCCGAAAATCTCCGACGGCGAGAAGAGCGCATATCTCTCCTCAGCATCCACGGACGAATGCACGGGCCCCGCATGCCAAACGCCGCCCTGCTCGGCCAAACTCGGATGGTCCGAGCCGGCGGACGGGGATCTTTGAACACTCTCCGGCGTGGATGTCCTGCTCACACCCCTGCGAGGACCCATACAGCCTCAGCCTCCCTTTGCCATGGCCCGCAAACCCCTTACGCAGCCGTGATCCTGACGGATAGTTTGTTTTTGGTTTGGTTGCTGTTGTTGTTGTTGTTGTTTTGTTTTGATTTTTTTTACCACGGAAAACTTGACAAACGACCGAAGCATGTTAGCAGCCTGTGAGTAACTATTCTTTAACTACTGCCCATGTCCACTGCACACGTGCAAATCTGGAGCCAAAACCACCACCCAGCGGCAGTCTCAAGCTGCATGGAACATACAACACTACATGTAAGTGCCTTTGAGAGTGCATCAGCATGTTTTCTCATAGGAAGTCACGCTCACGTTCTCTCTTGGCAGTCTGGGTGCCGACCAGGAGCGCAACGTCCCACGCCGCACGATTCTCCAGAACTGGCTGCACTGATCCTTCCATCTGTTGCCTGACTGGTCCGCCCCACTCATCAGACGGAGTGCAGTTTCTGCCGCTCGGATCGCAGAACATCCGGAAGTAGCGCTTTGGATGCTTCCGCTTGTGACCTTCATGACCCTCATGACTGTGGCGTGGGTCGGCAGGATCCATCTGGCCCTGGTGTGCCCATCCAGTCCGCGATCTGGATGGATGCGACCCGCCAAATCTGGATGGATGCGACCCGCCAAATGGCATCCACTCCTCTAACAATGGCTGCAAGCGATTTCCCATGCGGGCGATTTTTGAACACTCGGCTGCTGGAAACGTGCGCAGAAATCAGTTGCGAGTTGCCACAGGCCTAGCATTGAATACTGAATGCCTGCAAGCTTCCAAACCAACCCACGATGTCACGATGCCTCCCAGGGTCAACCGCAGATTGGGAAATCGCCATACCTCGGCCCAGCGACATCCATGACCCTCCCACTCCCGTGCTACCTGCCAGCCGTCAGAAGACCTGGCTCCCTATGATTACAAAGCAACAGAGTCTCCGTCATGCAGCATGCACGGCAGGTGTCGGAAATCAACCAGCTTGCTTCGGGAGCGCCTCGGCCAAGTAGTCAGACGCCATGTCGGGCGCCGAGAACGCATCGCTTGGAAGGAAACCCTCCTCAGTCACAAGACGCTCCTCCAACAAGTTGCCTCCCCAACACAAATGCACAAAACAAACTCGGAGGACGGCCAGCCCTCTTCACAACCATGTCAGTTTTTCGGGAGTGCCGCAATGACTGTGGGAAGATACTCCTTGGCTTTTGTCTGAGAAGATCATAGTTGTCCAACATTGACATGCTGCATCCTACAGTCTCTTAGCAGGGCTGGAAGAAGTAGCAGCAGCATCGTCACTGCCAACCACTCCAAACGCATTCTGAGAGAGGCGTTGCCCGCACGTTTTTGTTCTTGTTTGTTCGTTCTTTCTTCTTCTTCTTTTTTTTTTTGGGGGGGGGGGGGGGTAACTGTAACATGCTTCCACAAGCAGCTACCATGTTGTCCGCCCTAGGCCAACTTCTGCCTGCGGAGGACTGTGAAGAGACGCCTCGGGGATCCGAAGCTGGGCTGCCGGCCAACGCCGCGGTGACAGACATCGAGGCATCGCAGGTCTGAGCGTTTGTTCTGATACCCGAGGGGCGCAGGCACTCCCTCAGACTGACATGGAAGCTCCTCCTTAAGACTTGGAGCCATGGCCCGGGAGCTTCCATGGGAGTGTAAGCTGAACGCGCGCCTCCCCATCCACAATGAGAGGTCGGCCTGAACGTCAGGTGACCCCGGAGGAATGAACCCTGGGGAGCGTTCCCCTACCAAAACCAGGGACACCCCAATATCAATCGGAGTTTCTTCGTCTGGGGACAGCATTAGCCTTCCCACTCATGGCAAACCTTCCCTCGGAGCTCCGGCCACCAGCTAATCCTCCCTTCAGCCGCTCGCCGGTCACCTGGAGATGAAGCTGGCCCCTTTGGCAAGCTGCAAGCGGACCCAGACCCAAACCCCGCCTCCAGGGTGAACTGCTGATAGATGCCTGGGCGGAGAAGAAAAAAAAACGCGACAAAAAAAAACAACGGGAGAAAGAAAAAAGCAACTCCCAACTTTCTTGATTCCTGGATCCAATCCGCAATCGACCCGGAGGCGCCGGCTCCATCTCGTGGCATCCGATCTTGAGACCAGCGTGCGCACCAGGATCGCCGGCGGCGTGGAGAAGAAGACTCAGGATCCGCAGGCCATGCGCTAGAACACCGGCCTCTCACATGGCCATGGGTCAAAAGCCAAATCGTACCCCCAGTGAAAATCCCGATCCAACCACTAAAATAGGTTCTAAAATAGGTGGTGCACCTACCCCAAAATGGTACCATTGGATTTGACCCACAGCCACATGCGGAGCAAGAAAAGTTGCAGGACCCCGCGAGCTTTCGCAGCTCCAGGCACCCCGCCCGAACATGCCCTCACCTTTAAGATCACGGCTCTCTCTGGGTGTAGGCGGCCTGTCACCTGGCAAAAGCACGCTGCATTTCTCCCACCAGCCCGCGGCGTCTGCGCCTTCCTGCCCTGCCACAAGTGCCACAAGGATGCATTGAAGCAGGAGCCTGCGCATTGCACAGCCTCAAGAACTCTTAAGCCACATGCTCCGAACAAACAAATTCATCAATTGCATTGTATACTCATCAACACGGACAAGCTGATGTCGCTCCTCATCCAAGCGTGGTCCCACCTCGTCACCGCCCTGAAGCTCATGGCCTTGGGAGATGCCAAGTGGCTCAGGAGACACTGGCTACCCCTAGCCTAAGCCTGCAACTCGTGTGGCAGGGGAGCATCAGCCATACAATCTAGTGCCCTGTGGTAGGGCTGTCGTGTCCCAAACCATGACAAGAACCGTCAGGAGTCAATACGTTCGCTGAGCTTCTGTTACTGCAACCTTGAGGTCCATGTTGGTCATGATGCTTCAACTAATTGCGCCACCAGTGATACATCAACACTCCCTGGCCAAGCCTAACTCTGACACTGCCTGCGTGCTGTGGGAGACGTGGGAAGTGTCCAAACGTGTTGCAATTTGCGCTTACCGTCTCTCTTGTAAGGTAAGGTGGCTGCACACCCAAGCTGCTCAACAGAACCATCCGGCCCTGACCACCGCAAAGCTTCTGGCTTCTCACGCGGGCGTTGTTTTTTCCACAGCACGCGGCTCAACCGGAACAGGGGGTCGCTCAAGCTGTTTGAAGTCGGGCGGGGGCCACGTCTCGTGCTCCGACAGGGGTGCGAAGTTCATGCGCAGCTTTCCTGCAAACAGCCCAGGTGAGACATGTGCTACAAACTTGGGGGCCCCCCCCAAAAAAAAAAAAAAAAAAAAAAAAAAAAAAACTGGCGCAGATCTTGGGCCACAGCCACTTGAGCCGCGCACGCGCAAGTGGACAGTATACACAGCCCCCCTGGCCCAACTTCCCGCGCGCGGCCAAGCCGCGCTGGCCGATCCGGAGGCCCTTTCCAGCGGCTTCCACCAGGCGCTTGGCCTCCGCCAGGCTGGTCCGCAGGAAGACGGAGCCGTACCAAAGCCCGGTGGACCGGTCCAGGATCCAATCGATCAGCTCGACCTGAGGGAAGCACCCACAAAATGGCGGGGCAAAAATCGGTCAACCCCAAAAGACGGCCTAAAATGGGTTGTTTTGGGGAATGGAACCAAGGACTAACATCTGGGGTCCAATTCCTGGTCTAATTTTGACCCATAGCCACACATCAAACACGCGGAAAAATGGCGCGGCGTCGCTGAGGACGCAGCATCGCCCAGCGCGTTGCGAACCTGGCTCTCCATGCACATCGGAAACTGGATTCTATGTGGCTGGTAAACTTCAATCAAGTCGCGCTTGTGGCATCGATGACGAAGGGGAGGTTCCCTACAAACAAGCGGCGCGATGGCTTGCTGGCCACGGCCTGACAGCACGATCCACTTTCCTCACGCAGCCCGCTGCAAAATCATCCCATCACGCAAACAACTGCTCAGGTTGCAGCTCGTCGAGCGCGCTTGCCACTCCCGCCAGCTGGCTCCTCCGCCTGCCAAGCAAACTCGGTTCAAGATCTACCCAACAAAGAACATCCAGCAATCTAGAAATGGCTTGGAAGTGGTTTTGTGGAACCACCCTGCGGGATATTAAAAAATACTGAAAGAGTACTAAAAAGGAACCTACACGGGGAACAAAAGGGTGAAATCCACAAGAGGCGCATCCAAACCGTTTGCCAGAAGCAAGCAAAGCACATGCAAAGGGTGGTATACCTAGACCAAGGAAATCTCACAAGTGTGGGGGCCCAACTGCGTCGAATCAACATGACTGGCTTCTGCATGATCCTTTGTAGTTGTCCGAGCTGCAAAACACAACGAAAGGTCGAGTTCATGGCTACAAGCTTTCGTTCTAAAGCTGGCGCTAAATGCTTCCGCAGCCCTTGGCTGCCATTTGGGAATTCCCTTCGGCCCTGTGGCACGTGGCAGCGCAAGTTGGACCCTGCTTGTTGTCGCAACAAGCCACGAGAAAACCCTAACTGATAAAAAGGTGAAGCGCTTCCACCGCTCCACAATCTAAATCTGGATTTACATGTGAACGTGAAAAGGTCCCACTTCGCGTCAAGCGTTCCAAGGTAACGGTCCCCACACAGGAGGCTCTGTGTTGCCGCTAATGTGATTGACGGTGGCTCGTTGGGGGGTGGGGGGGCTGGAGAGAAGCCCAAAGATTGCCGATGAGGAAGCGCAGGCGTGGACCGGTGATGATGTTGTGTGCGTGACAATAATCAATCTATGCAGATCCTTGCCAGCGCAGCTGGCAGGGTGCGAGGCTAACCAAACCTGCCGCTTCTGGGTCCTGGATAATTTTACAAGCTCACAAGAGACCAACCAAATGAGTCCAACCCAGTCAGGTCATGCACTCAGCTCAGATACCCAGCCTTCCTCTTCGGCTTCAGCTCGGGCCTTTGAAGATCCCTGAGCCTGAAGCCTTCCTGGCAAGCGCAATCAACCCATGTGGATGGCCAGCATGCACCAGCCGGGGGTTTCTCCCAGTGTTCACAGGGCTTCATCCATCCCAACTGGAGGCCGTAGGTTTGGCAAGAGGGGGGGGGTGAGTCGTAAGCGGGTTTTAAGGAATTTACAACCGCAAGGCTACCCCCGGCGCATGTCCTCCCCCGGCCCTCGCCTCGCACAAGGGGCACTGCAGCCACGGCTGCTTCAACTCAACGTCCGGCCGGCAGTCAGAGCAAACGATCACCGGCACTTGGCAGTCCTGCAAGACACGTGGCATGGGCAGGCGAGGAAGCCGAGGGGTCTGTCTTTTCTTGAGGGTACCCTTTTTGGGGTGGGTTTCAAGGGGAAAACCAAAAGGAAAGACCGCAATGTGTGGCATAGTTCAAAAAATGGAGTCCTCGTGGGAGCACTTGAATTGCCCGCGGTACAGGCCCCAAAGCTTCTTGCAAACGCAGCATTTGCTCTCAACCTGGCAGGGAGAAAAACAAATGCAGCTGCCAGGGCGAGGTCAAGTCAGCTTTGCAAGCCTCCTCTTGCAACTCCTCACTGGGCTTCTTTTCAGGCACCTGCTCTTGCCGCTTGTCAAAGAGGAAGTTCTTCCCCTCAGGTGCCGACTTCCCAAACAAACACGTCGGCCTGACAAGAACGGGCCTTCCAGAACCCTCCTTCGGGAAAAGTCCGGACGTAGCGCTCGATCCCTCCTCGCAGCATGAACTCCCCGTCGGTCTGGAAGTCAGGATTGTCTTGCCTAGCGACTTCGGCCGGTTCCGTGCACCGTGCCATCAGCCGAATGCGTCCGGGCCGCTTCAGCTGCGTCATCAGGGCGGAGAATCGCTCACATCGAATCCCGCCAGTGCCTTGGGGGCGAGCTAACCACGCGCCACGTTGGAAGCGATGCAGCTGCGCTGGAAGGAAGGGCCGAGTGACAGTACATCATCACCTTCTTCCCCTTCAGCGCATCCTACATACAAAACTGCAAGCTCAAGTGCAAAACCTTGGATTTGGGCCCACTCTTGGGAAAGATTGAAGGAAACCAGCCAGGATCGGAAAGGCTTCTTGACTTAGCTAGGACACGGTAGGTTCTGGGCGGGCTTCGGGTGGGCTTCAGGTAGCTTTGGGATGGCTTCATGTCGGGCGAGATTCGCCTTTTGTGCTTGCTGTGGCGTTGGTTTAGGTTGGTCCATGGGTCTCCTAAGCGTTGCATTCGGATTCTGGCAAGTTGATTTGAGAAGTGTCTTTTTGGGTTGATTTGGGATGGGGTCGGATTGGGATCCTGGATGGGTATGGCTTAAATCGGTGGGCAAAAGCTAGCCATGCTGGACCAAGGTTGTCAGGCTGGTTGAGCTTTCGCATCCGTGCGGATTCAAACAATAGCCCATCTGGGTGTGGGTCAAAATTAATCCGCCAAGGGACCGCAGGTTTTAGTCTTTGGTTCCATTTGCCAGGGTTCCATTTTGGGGTTGCCCTATTTTTGACCCACAGCCAAATCTTTGCGATTGACACCCAAGCAAGCGCATCTCTCAAATGGCTCCTGCGTCTCCGGCATGGCCAACCACTTCGGCAGCTCGTGGCTGTTGCGCACCTACAACGGTTACTTGGCAATCGAAGTGGTCCCCTCAAATGGCGGATTTCCTTTGGGTTCGTTTCAGAGACCAATCAAAGGGGGTCCATCCTTTGAGGATTTTTCTGTGGCGCCTTGGGATCGATGAACTCAGCGCCACCTTGCGGCGGCTGGAAGTGACCGATCTCGGTTTCGTACCTGTTCCTCACCTGCAGGAGTGGCTACATGCTTGTTGAAACAGCCAGACCCATGCCACATGCACCCTGAAACCCTTTATGTTGCACTTGATACCCTAGAGGCACGTCTATGATGACGGTGTTCGGCTCCGACATCATCCTCATGAAAATGGTCACAGGGCGTGCAAAAGTCGTAAAGCATCCCACTTGAGAAAGCCCTGGTTTTGGTGCGATCGGGCTGCTTGTGGTACTCATCCGCCTCCACATGCTGAGTGTCATTCTCTTTGAGCGACGGCGCAGCACTGACAGGCAAGCCGTAAGCAACCTGAGAACGGCTGGGGCTTCGCAGTGTAGGTTTTTTGTTCCAAGCCACCTTGCAACTGCAGGCAAAATGCAAGCTCTTCTTTCTTCTGGATGGTGAGGCTCCTGGTCATGGCTTGAGGCAACATGTCCGTGGGAAAGGACGGCCCCTCTTCACTGCTTGGACTTGGCAGGTGCTGTGTTTGCTATTTAAAAAAATGTCCCTCAGTGGTCTTAATTGTCCCTTTAGTTGCTGCCTTTCTGCTTCTCAACGTTTTGTGCTACGCAAGCGGAAGGCGGGGCTCTTGAACTTCTTGTGGTGCTCCAAGCCGTCGGTGATCTTGAAATCCGTGTCGTCGAACAGCGCATCCCAATCCTCGGGGTGCGAAAACCCGCTCACGGGAAGGGGGAGCTTCGGGTTTTGGTTGGGGCTTTTGAGGCGTGGGGCTTGGGGTTGCTAAGGCTTTTGGTTTTCAGGTGGCTGGGGATCTGGCTGTTAGCTCTAGCTGTTGTAGGTTTAGGGCTAGGGCTTGGGGTTTGGACTTCGGTCAGGGTTCTTGGCTTAGATTTGGCGTTTGGTTCTGGGTTTGGGGTTAAGTTATTTTTTCTGTTTTGCAAAAGGTTGTGGGTTTTGGCAGTTTAGGGTTTCGGTGTTTGGGTCCGGGCTTTGGGTTTCAGGAAGCTTCAGGTTTCTGGCTGGGCGATCCCAAGCTACACTTGACCTCACCGTCGACCCCGCCTTCAGTTGCGAGCAACAATAGAGTAATGGGAATGCTGCACGTTGGAAAGGCTGGTCCTTCCCATTGCAACTGGAACAGGCCTTCCAAGTAGACCGCTCAGCTGGCGCAACTAGCGGCTAGCGCGAGCGTGCGGGTGCGGCAGCTGGGGGCTGGTATAGGGCGATGGTGCAGGCCACAGAAAGCTCAACTCATCTTGTTCCCTGCTGCGGTAAGCCTGCATCCCTAGCTGGTCATTCGGCCTGAACAAAAAAGCTGTGAAAAGCAGCTGCGCCAGCACCTCAAGTGGGAGGGGGCCAATCGGCAACCACTCCCCCGCGTGAGAAGAAGACACCCCATCGTATTTTGTAGGCTGACACGTGAAGGCAGCCTGGCTATCACTACGAATTGTTTGCTCCTAGGATAAAACCAAAAAAAAACTGTCCCATCCACCAAGCAAAGCTGGTTGCAACCAGAGCTCCCGCAATCCTTGTGCAAATGCACGGACCCCCTCCGCAGTGCCGGTGAGAGTGCAATTCCTCAGGCAGTTTTTCAAACAAATTGCCAGCGTTGCATCGGCGCTCCCGAATCGAATGCAGCGCCCATTTCAAGTCAAAGCCATGACTCAGACCTTCGGCAGAGCACCGTCCTCTACCAGTCACTCCTTATTCGAAAACGTCACACAGACACACAGAGACACACAGACACTCAGACACAGACACACACAGAGACGCAGACATACAGACACATAGAAACGCAAACACACACCACCAGCTGATACTCCGCACCAAAACTGAGTGCCAATCCATGCTTTCGCCCAAGATCATGCACCTTGGCCCAAGCTCACTGCCGCCCTACAAACCCACCTTCCACCGTAAAGGATGTGAGGCGCAGGCAAATGTGAGGGCTCTCCGATGCTGCTTTGCGCTCCAAGCAGGCTCAACATACTGATAGAAGAGCATAATCGACGTGGGGGGCCTCCCCTTCTCATCCTTGCGCAGGCCATCTGGCACTGGCGGCAGCCTCTTGTGCGCGACGGAGCGCGCCATCTTGGGCACCATGCCTTGCATGGACTCTTCCAGGCTCACCTGCCATCCCGCCACCATGGCCGCACGCCCGGGATCAACACAAGCCGCGCCCCTGGCCCGGGACACCTAGCGCTGGGTGAGGAAAAGAAAAAACGAGCTAGGGAGCCGGGGCTGCCAATCCCAAAATTCCAAATCCTGCTAAGGCCACAACAACTTCTGTCAGTGCAAACTTGTTTGACTCGCTGGGCATCTCACAGGCGAGTTGCCAGCCTGGCTTACTTTGGGCTTCATGCGGCAATCACGGCCCCAGCATCCCCACAAGCAACCACCTCAGCAGCCTCGCACAGAAGTCGCACTTGCTTCTTGCACACCCATTTTCCGCTCCAGAATGAGTGGTATGTAGACAATTGGGCCAAGCGGTCTGTTCAAACGGTCATTTGCGGGCAAGCGCTCTCTCTGCGAAAGGCAGCAGAAGCCTCCTGCCGATCATCCACTCGCCCAAGTCAACACCCACCGTGGTATTTCAGCCCGTTGACTTCCAGAAACACCGGGCGAAAAGTGGTGCCGAGAAGTACCACAGGCGCCCAGTCTGTGTCTCATCCCGGCGCAGGGCAGGGTTCAAATGGCGCAATGGGCCGTCACCCAAGCAGTTGTGTTTGCTCATCTTTTTTCTAGACAAAAACGTCCTTCTCCAAGGCCAGCCTTGCTCTTTTGCAACATCTCACCAACAGACGCATCCTCTTTCGATCGCTGCAGGAGATGCCGATCCTATTCCAGGAGCGGCACAAGAGCGCCACCCAACCCCCACGCCAGGGCCGGGCTGCCACTGCGGTAAAACTGTACCCTGGGAAACGGCTCATCGAAAGCCCCCAGGTGATGCCCCTTGGTGGTCAAAAGTTGGGGCCTTCCTTCATCCCTTCCGCGCGCGGCTGATCAAAGGTGACACCAAAAAAAATAAACTTCCGCCGCTGAGTTGGACAGACCACCAAGGCCCAGTGAATGGAGCAACGCCTTCGGCTGCCTCACTTCTTCTCACCCTTGTCTTTGCCTCCGTCGAAACAACGGAAAGTTAAAATCAGCAAAGTCGCCCTAGCAAATAGACTTAGACCGAACATAGAAATTCAGAGCCCCCATTCCCAATACCAGCGCTTCAAGATCCGTGAGGCCCGGGCTCTCCTTCCTCTTCGGCCTTCTGGCTTGAAGCTTCGACACCTCACAGCTTTCAGCTTTCGGCCCGGGCACCAGCCGATGCTGACCCCCTATGAATGAACCCCAGCGAATTCATAGGGGGGGGGGTTTCCCCTCCAAAAGTGAACCATCCCCACTAAAACCAGGGACACCTCCCCTATTCATCAACCAGGGGGTTATTAATCCGGGGTTTTCACCAAAAAAACAACTCGCCTGAAGACGTATGAGATCCGCGAAATCCTCCCAGGCGGACTCCTCCTCTTCCTCTGGGACCTCGCCTCGGAAGTCTGGTTTTTCGAAACGAAGGGGAGATCTCAGCTGCGTTTCGCGTGTGCGGACAAGCGGCGGATCAGCAAGGCATATGCCCTCTCCACCATGGAATCCTGAAGCAGGCAAGAAAAACAAGTGCGGCCTGCAGGGCTACAACACAAGCAACAACTCAACTCATGACAACTTCCAGAAGTCTGAGAGCAGAACACCTGGATTCTCCAGCATCTCCGCCAGCAGGTGCAGTTTGTCCTTCCTCCCCAGCCGCCCGTCCAGCTCCAGCCTCCTGGGATCGCAAGGATGCGCTGAGACAAATTTCTGCAGCCAGGCCTGAGCCCTCGCACGGCGTCGCGGGAATCCTCTGCCTCCTCGTCCTCGTCCACATAGATTTCATCCTCCAAATCCTCGGTGTCCTCATCCTCCAAATCTGCGTCCTCTTCCTCCTCGCTCGGGATCAACGTGCCGGCGATGCCGAAGGGGCTGTCATCCTCGGCCGCCTTGAAGACGAACTGCGGGGAGCCGCCCAAACTTTGCGCAGCCCGCATGAGCTGCTGAAGCCGCGCATCCTGTGCCAGGTTCTCCCCGGCGACTGCCAAAGCCTCTCCTGATAGGGGGAACGAGCAACTCGCCAGGTCAGAAGCTCACCAATTCTTGCCCGGATTTGCCCGACCTCCGGAGTCTGGCATGTTTAGAGAACTGCTAATGCAATTTCAATTGGCTTCTGACCATCTTTAAAATCTTCGACATTCCCCTTGGTCTTTGCCCCCCCCCCCCGATTCCACCCCCCCCGAATTGCTGTGCATGAAGCGTAGCCCTCTCCAACAGCAAGTATCTTGCCCCCAGCTGCCCTGCGGTTTTGGGGCATTTTGCTCCTTGCGGCTGCCTGCTTACGTGCCGGTGCGTCAAAAGCCACTTGCCACGTGGGCCCTTCCTGAAGATGTGCGTTGCCACCAGCGTGCTCCTGAGTTTCACGCTGCTCAGGGAAAAGGGCTGGTGCACCACCCTGCCAGCTACCGCTAGGCTTGTCGCCGGCAAGGGATTTGTGAGAGGGAAACGTACCCTTCCTACAAAGAATTAGCAATGTCCAGTCCATGAATGCAAGACAACATCCTGAGGCACCCGCAACCTCATCTGCTTGTTGAGGACCTGCTCTTGGCAAGTGATCACAGCCGTGGCACCCCGTAGGCTCACCTTGGCGCAAGCTCGAAGCTTCACGTACCTTCACTCCGACACGAAGCACGTGCCTTGACCTGCTCCGGGACGACGCGGTTCTTGGTTTTGGACTCCTCGAAGAGTCGTTGGAACGAGTTACCTTAGCTTTGGCCACTTGGAGATTACCCCCCCACAAATTAACATGGAACCTGACAGGCGGTCCCTTTACCACCCCCGAAACGTCGAACAGTTCCATGTTAATTGGTTGGAGGATAAGTGGCTGCAGGTTGTCAGGCCGAGCGGCAAATGTCTGAGTACCCGTTGAAAATGAAAGCCGACTTGTCCTGACTGGAAAACGCGCCCGGCACATTCAAGGCGAACATGCAGGACTGAATGCAACCCAGTAGCGTAAGGATGTACACACTGCGTACTAGAAGACTTCAGCCAGCAGGCCTTCATGCGATCCAAATTTCTTTGAGAAAAGGCCGCCTTGGCTGCAAGCGCCCCATCAAAGCAGGTCAGCCTCCACATCCAAACAAAAAAGTTTGCCTTTTTGGAGGTTCAAAGCAAATATGATGGGTATCCAAAAAGTTAAAGTATAAAGATCCAACCCAATAGCAGTAGAGAAGTATAGCGCGTGAGGGTTGTTTCTCATTCAACGTGTCCGTTCTTTTCCTGAATGCAGCACAATTGCTTCCCCGGCCCCCCGTGAAAAAAAAAAGAAGAGGCCCTCGGAATGCTGGGAACTTCACAAAGGCCAAGGTTCATAAAACTCGACGTTGGCCTGCAGGACATTTCCCTCATCATCCAGCTGGGCTGAAGACAGCTGGTCCCTGATGCGAGCAGCTGCCGCATAATCGCCGGCCTCTGCAAGGTCAATCCTCTTGCGATCCAGTTCCTCGCATGCGCGTACTCGGGCTATTGGGCTTGCGGCAAGGCGCACAACCAAAGCCCCAAGCCACACATGCCAAAACTACCAAAAACCACCCAAACCACCAAAACGCAATCAGGGCGTCTTCCAGCGCTTCCTCAGAGGCCTTCTCGGCCGCCGATTTTGCCGCTGGCTCAAAGGCGGGCTTCGCCTCGGCGTCCTCTTTCGCACGCCGCCGGAGTCGCGAAGCCCGGCAACACGCCGCGAGGGTCAGGCCAGCGGCAAGGAACGCCTGAGAACCTCGGGGGGCCATGCTTCGGCAACGTACTTTGCAGCTTGCCGCTCCTAACCTCGCTTGCGTGGATTCGGCCCAAACAAGAAAAAAACTTTACAGCTACCACTAAAGTTGTCTTCCCAAAAAGACTAAAGTTCATGAACTCAGGAAGTGAGTAAATGGCCGACTGGTTTCCTGCGGGTTTCCTTTTGCACTGCAAGGAGAGCCAAGCTTTGCTCCCCCGCCACCACCGGCAGCGCTGCTAGATGCGGAAGAACCTGTCACCTCGGGCATCCAAAGCTGCGTCCTGCTGAGTCTGCCTCAATGCCACTGCTGCGAATTTGCCTCCCTCTTGCATATCCTACTCACTCAGACTTCCAGCGCTCACGGGCCAATAGTTCAAGCATGCAATCATTGCGGTCATTCTGGGAAGGCCCTCTCTCCCTCTCTCCTCTTCCCCCCCCCCCGCTCGTTTGCAGCCAAATGGGCATATTCTCCTCGCACTTGCGCACGCGGCAAAATGCACGGGGCGATGAAGCTCAGAGCGGACCTCCACACGAATTGGCAAAAAAACAGTTCTCGGCTCGGCTCCGCGCTCAAGCGCGCCTGCGAAAATCCAGCAGGTAGGCGCAAAATGCCACGGCTGCCAAGGCCAACACCTCGGCGGGCCGCAGTCAAGCCGCGGATCACCCGCCTTAGCTGAGCCCCCAGCACACCATCTTCGGCCTGTCAAGTCGAAAGTTGGCAACAGCACAGTTCTCTGATAGGTCCAGCCGGTCCTGTTCGAGCCATTGTCACGTGGCAGCTGTTGCCCAAAGGGATCAAAGTGCAAAAGCTCGCGCGTGGAAAGAATTCTGGTTGAACATCACCATGTATTTTGCTCTAAAAAGTCTCTTTGCGGTGTCTGCTGTGGGCCTTGCCGGGCCAGGCGATGCCGGGAGCACAGGCAACAATGCGGCCCCACATGTCACAACACTGCCCTTTCCATCAGCGCTCCTTCTCTGCTCTTTTTCAAACCCCTGCGCCCACGCTGTTGCTTGCTACGAGGTGCACTTACAGCAGCAGGGAGGGGGGCTGCTTCTTCTTCTCCTTGCCATCCTGGAAATTGAATGCGCTGTGGCTTCCGGCGGCTTCCAACCTGGCCTTGGACTTCTTGGCCAAACGTTGGGCCATCTCCTCGCGAAGTGCTCAAGGTCTAAAATTCTAAAATCGCAAAGTCTGCTCAACGGCAAGCAAGTGCCCAACCAGGGCAATCAGGGACCCCGTCCTTTGCGGTCTCTTGCTTTGTCTCTGCCTTTTGCTTGGCTTTGACTGGTGGCGGGTCAAACTCCTGAGGAACAGAACACTCGCAAGCTCGCAGACCACATGCGCTGACGCGCTGACCCGCCTTTGCACGCTCCCGCCGCTTCTCAGCAGTCTTTGCTTGTTGAGCCTGCTGATTCAGCATGGCGGCTGGGGGTTTCAAATCGCGCTCCCACTTGCACCTCACGCTTGGCGATTCGTTGTCTAAGCTGCTTCTCCTTTTCCTTGGCAGTAGTCAATGCCATTCAGCAGGGCGCGCACCACGTGCACCAAGATATAAGTTTTACATCCAAATGACATTGAGAAAATACTCGCCGGACTCCATTTGCAGGTCCTGCCAGAAGAAAACAGGAAAGTCCGCCTTTTAGCCAGCCGCATGGCAAAACACGGCAAATACGCACGCTCCTCTTTCCGAGGCATAGGCTGAGGCGGAAACACGTCCTTGCTCTTCTTCTTGCCCTGACAGGGCACGCGCCCCAGTCGATTCCTGGGCTCCCTTTGAGTGGGGATGCGTTTGCTCTTTGCTCGGCCCCCGTGCTGACGCCGCGCCGCCTTCTTGGCCTTCGCCTTCTTGCGCTGGACGTTGCGCTTCTTGAAGTGCGGCAGGAAGCGATCCCAGTTCTCATTCTTCAGCTCGGGGTCCTGCACCCATCCAATCGATTGGCCCTCTGTGGGCTCTCGCCGGGCTCTCGGATCCTTCTCCAGCTCGCGGCGGATCATGAGCTCCTTGATGTGATAAATCCTTGGCAAGTTCCAGAAACTCTTGAGCCTTGCCTTGAAGTGAGTGAAAGCTTTGGTCCAAAAGTCAGATGCTCTAATGCAACTGAGAGGCGGATGGATGTTTTTGAAGCAGTCTTCCACTATGCGGCGCACCTGCTTAGAAAGTTTCAGGAAGGCACTTAGACCATGCTCAAACCAGAAATGCCACAACTCAGCTCGCCCTGCAGTCCTGCTTGATGCCCTTCACCGATCCCATCATGGACACCGTCTGGCCCTGGACCAGGACGTAGCACTGGCTCAGGAGTTCGATCGCCTGGCGGCCGCGGGCAAACGGGCCTCCTTCGCCTCTCGCGAGCCCCGCAGGCCTTCAGGGTTGAGCCGTTCGGCCCCACCAGCCGCTGCCGCCGCTTCACGAAGCGCTCCTTTGACCGCACCAGTCCTCAAGGCAAAGGCATGGCATTGCAGCAAGGCGAGGAGAAAAGAAGAAGGAAAAAAAGAGAAAAGAGAAGAAGAGAAAAAAAGCGGCCTCCGATTTTCATGATGTCACAGTAGACCTGCCGTGCATCCATTTCTCTCACTCGCTGCCCAAGAACGGCGCCTCGTCCTCCAAGACCTTCTGGGCTTGTGGAAACGGCACACTTCTCGCCAGGAGCTTGATCATGTCCCTGGCCTGGCGCTCGCATGGCTGTGGGTCAATGGGTATCCATTTTGGAACCCCAGAAAATGGAACCAAGCACTAAAACCTTCGGTCCCCTGGTGCTTTGATTTTGACCCATACCCAAATCACGGAAGCCTCTTGGAACTGCATATGTGGTCTGCGTCAGCCACATCACCACCGAGCCAAGGGATGGCCGACTTGCCACTTGCACAAAATAAAATGGAATTTGCAAGTGACCCGCACTAGGGAACGCCGAGTGAGAGCTGCCTTCAAAAAAGAAACCTCCAGCCTTCATGATGATGAAGGGGTCCCAAGTCTTCTTGGTCGTCTTGACCGTCATGGAGCCCTCGATCAAGTTGAGCTCACCCACAAGCTCGTGCCTCGGTAGGCCGCTTTTTGGCCGGACGCAATAGGCTGGACTTGGCCAGGGCGCTCGGCGAGCAACCTCTTGACATCAGGCCAGACTTGCCTCAACGCGCAGTGCTGTCACGCCAGGCGCCCTATGCACACCTTGTCCGACATGGGAACATGGCCTCATCAGCCTGGCTTTAAATGACTCGCTGTCCGGGTCCGTGTGGCTCAAAAAGTAAGAGCCACGGGACCATAGGTTCTAGTACACTTTTCCAATTGCCCGAGTTCTGTTTTTTCGGGCCCCCCACTTTTGAGCCACAACCAGATGGCCCCAAATCGGCCGCATCTGAGCCAGGAGCTTCAAATACTGCTCCCGGTACTGCGGGAAAAGGGTGGCAAAGGAGCTCTCCTCCAAGAGTAGGCCGGATGGCGCGTCCTCTTTGGCCATCGTCCTAAAACCAAACCACAAGGCACCCTGAGGCATAAAGCACCACCAAATGCATCCAGGACACACGGGCTTCCAATGATCGATGCCTTCGTGGTCCCAAGGCTTCTCTTTCCTGTACTTGCCCTTCTTTGCCGGAGGCTCCGAGCCTCTAACTGTTTTCGCATGGCAACTGTGCACATCGAAAGTGCAAAAAGGCTGCTACCAAGCCTCCGGACTGGTTTTCCACGTCTTGTCCGTCACCGCCATCGGCAGCAACATCCGCCCTGTGAAGCCAAGCAATCCACAAAAACACGCAACAAATCTTTACTTGCTGAGCTCCCAACTGTGCTTCTGCCCGCCTCTTCTTCCTGAGCTCATGACATGCCTCTACTTGCAGCAAAAAACAAAAGAAAACCTGCCCACACTCGCACACACACACCGCCAATGTCAGACAAGAAGCTTCATGCTTCCCGTCATCACAGTTCAAAAACTGCCAAATCGCGTGGCGGGTTGCCCTGTGCTGTCGTAGTCCTTTCCTCCCTGGATAAGCTTGCTCCAAGATCCTACACTACTCTCTCAGCCAGGGGCATTTTAGCCATGTTGCTCGGGTCGTGGCAAAAATGCTTCTTTTCTGCGTCACTGAAACACGCGTGGAGCCTCTAGCATCGCGTCGCTGGAGGTAAAGCAGCTGCGGTTTAGCTGGCCAATCACACATAAAATCGGAGCGCTTTGGCGGGAGCTAAATCCTGGCAAATCGATAAACTGCGCACAGAGCACAACAACTGAACGAGCATGACCCCGGCTTGGAATACATTGAAACCCTTCCGTCGGGTCGGTCACTTTGCGCTTTAGTTTGCTTCAAGTCCTGCCCTCCAGCACCAAACTGAGCATCTTGATTTTTGGGCCGACGCAAAAAAAGACGCATTTAAGAGTGAGACAAAGGCAAAGATGCTCAATGCACCTGCATCTACCTGTCCAAAAGCGGTCACAACTTTCCCCTCACCCACACCTTGGCTGAAAAGGTCAAATCCTTTGACAATCAGCATCTTGGAGGGCAAATCGTGCATGGCACAAACAATGGCAGGACCACAAATCGGGCGCAGTTCAAGGCTGGCGCCGAGTACCGGCCGCGTGGGCCGATCCAATGCAACTCAGCCTTGGGCAACGAGGAATGCGTTCCAAAATCCTGGAGCTGGCAAATCTAAGCCCGCGTCCAAGGAACTGGCAGCTAAATCTAGCGTCGCATTTCCACAAATCCAGCCTGCCCGCAATCCCGGCAGCCTCTCTCCAATGGAATCTGTTTCGCCTTCGCCCTCTGGAGTCGGTCGCCTAGGAGCCAACGTCGCTCCATGGCCCAAAGACCCGCATGAACCCGCAAGCCTGGGCTTCCTCCCGACTGCATGCAGCATTACTTTCCAAAAGGTAATGCCTAATCGTGGCCAGTGGGTCAGGCTGATAGGGGCGGGTGGCAAGGGAAGGAAGGAAGGAAGGAAGGAAGGAAGGAAGGAAGGAAGGAAGGAAGGAAGGAAGGAAGGAAGGAAGGAAGGAAGGAAGGAAGGCAAAACCAACGCCGCCAGCTTTGTCCCGGGAGGGGCGCGACGGTTCTGAAGCGAAAACGTGATAGTTGCAGGGGCAACATGCGGAGGGCTTTAAGAATTGCAGTTGTTCTTCGCTGTGGCTTTTGCAAGGTTTTTCTGCTTTTCTTGGCTTTCACAGCGTTTGCCGATTTTTGTGGTTTGTGTGGCGTTTCCTGCATGTGGCTCTGGAAAGCTGCAAAGGACAGCATGGTTGCCTTCCAGAAAAAAAGGGAAAAACCAGAAGGTTAACAATGAATGGGGAGTAAAGAAATGAACATAAGGAAAATGATTAAACAAACAAACAAAGAAACAAACAAACAAACAAACAAACAATTAAAAGGCAGCACGTTGATCACATTGAATGAATGAATGAATGAATGAATGAATGAATGAATGAATGAATGAATGAATGAATGAATGAATGAATGAATGAATGAATGAATGAATGAATGAATGAATGAATGAATGAATGAATGAATGAATGAATGAATGAATGATGAATGAATGAATGAATGAATGAATGAATGAATGAATGAATGAATGAATGAATGAATGAATGAATGAATGAATGAATGAATGAATGAATGAATGATGGGCGGGTGAAAGTGCCAACCTGACGCGGGTTGAGGCACTGGTGGGGCAACGCCCCTGGATGCGCCGCGGGGGAAAGCCCCGCGCAGTTCATCTCGTGCACCAACATGACCAGTGCAGCGCCCACGCGGCACACGCACAGGCGCACAGGCATGAATGAATGAATGAATGAATGAATGAATGAATGAATGAATGAATGAATGAATGAATGAATGAATGAATGAATGAATGAATGAATGAATGAATGAATGAATGAATGAATGAATCACCCTGCCAATGGCCCAATTGGCCACAAGTTGCGCAGTGTGTAACTCGCTTCAGCTCCGCAGGTGACTTCTTGCCAGAACACCGCCCTTGGGCTGACCACTGAATTTCCTCCCGAGAGTCATACTTTTGCGGGCTGTGACCGTGAACATCGCCAGCTCGGCAAGATCCATGTCTTGATCGTCTCCCGGGTCGGGCTGACCAGCCCCATGTTCCTCCTCAATGGAGTCGAGCGTCTGGTTCTCATAGTCGGGGTCGGTCGTGATTGGGCTCATGATCTGGTTCTTGTTCTGGGGCAGCCGCAGTAGCATAGACTTGGCGACTGGACAAAGAAGACTCACCTCCTTGTCCACCTCCTTTGACAATGGTGCCGTCGCGCCCGCCAGCGGAGGCGGCCCGCGAAACTCAGGGTGCTGTGCTGCAAAACCATGGCCTCGTAGATGTCGTATGCCAAGGACTGACGGGCCCCGACCAAGATGAGGCGCTGCTGGTCCACGCGCAACCTGCTGCGATCCAGAAACCTGCTGCCACGGGATTTGCAGGCGCACATACCACCCACGTTGATCCCGACTGATCGAAGGTTCCGCTCCAACCTCTAGGTAGCGATGGGCAAACTGCCGAAGATGCTCGCCTGGGAACCGGGCGATCGTCTCGAAATCCGTGAGGAACTTCCGCTTCTGGAAGATCTCCTTCGCCTCCATGGGGCCTCGAAGCTGCTCCAGAATAAGGTCTATGCCGCTCTCCTGGTAGATCAGTTCCTGCTCACACTCGCCGCTCAACGAAGTGTACAGGAGCAACGCCAACTCCTTGCCGGGGGCATACTGCTGGGCTTGAAGCCTCCAAATGTCCACCTTCTTCTTGTACTTGTGGAAGGCTCTGAGGTCGTCCTTGTCGTACCTCCATGTTGGTGGAGCCGGAATCTGGCCCGTTTTCCACTTGACACCTGACACCTTTGCTCCCCTTTCGAGGAATTCCAATCAGCGGTGTCCTCGTTGTCCTTGGTGTTGACAAGCTGCTTGAGGGCGCCAAGAAGGCGACCATCATTCTTGTCGGTGATCTCTGAGAGGGAGGAGAAGCCTGTACGGCGTTCTGAGCTGCTGTCTGACGTGCTGGTCTGGCTGGATGAGGTGGTACGGGTCGAAGTGTGTCGGGGTCGACGATGGGGACGTTGGTCGGTACTTCTGATGGGGGGGTGTTCATGATCTTCACCCTGCGGGTCCTCGGGAGCTCCTTCATGTCGAGCACGTCGGGCGCGAGCACGGCGGCTGCGAGCAGAGCGGTTCGACCGCGAAGAAGCCTGGGACTCACCATCTGGGGAATCTGGGGCATGTGGAACATAGACCCAAACACCATCCTGAGTGGCGGTCCGCGCGGGCTGGTCAGTCTGATAAAAATGTTCCAAGGCTCCGCAGAAATCACACATTCAGGCGCCTCCAACATCATCAAGGCTGAAGTTCGGCTCATCGCACCGCAAGTATCTCCAAGAGGGCGTCAAACCAGGTGGTCCTGGTCGCGGGCTCGGGTGTGGCATGACTCTTCGCCGATGACGGGGTTCAGGGGAACTGCTTACGAATCCATGCCCTCCTCCTCGAACATCGAGAAGGTCACACCAGCACACTGGCCTCGAGACAGGCTCCGGTGCCAACTGATCAAAACCAGGGCGGCGCTCAAGGCTTTTGCTCCATGGCGATTGCGCTGCATACGCAAGTGATATTGCGACTCAAGAGGGCCCGCCTAGGGTCCAAGCCAAAATGGCGTGCATATGTATGAGATCGGCCAACCATGCTGCAACCTGATGCGGCCTTTAGCCAAATGCCAGGACGAAATTCACAGAATGCATGAATGAATGAATGAATGAATGAATGAATGAATGAATGAATGAATGAATGAATGAATGAATGAATGAATGAATGAATGAATGAATGAATGAATGAATGAATGAATGAATGAATGAATGAATGAATGAATGAATGAATGAATGAATGAATGAATCAATGAATGAATGAATGAATCAATGAATCAATGAATCAATGAACCAAGGAATCAATGAGTCAATGAATGAATGAAAGAATGAAGGAATGAGTGAGTGAGTGAATGAGTGAGTGAATGAATGAATGAATGAATGAATGAATGAATGAATGAATGAATGAAAGAATGAATGAATGAATGAATGAATGAATGAATGAATGAATGAATGAATGAATGAATTAATGAACGAATGAATGAATGAATGAATGAATGAATGAATGAGTGAATGAATGAATGAATGAATGAATGAAGGAATGAAGGAATGAATGAATGAATGAATGAATGAATGAATGAATGAATGAATGAATAAATGAAAGAATGAAATGAAACAAAAAAGGAATAAAATGAAACAAAACGAAATGAAATAGAATAGAATGAAATGAAAATGAAATGAAATGATATGAAAAAAAGAAAGAAAGAATTGAGATAATGAACGAATGAATGAAGGAATGAATGAATGAATGCATCAAAATGTGAGTGAATAAATTTACAAATGAATGAACGAACGAACGAACGAATGAATGAATGAATGAATGAATGAATGAATGAATGAATGAATGAATGAATGAATGAATGGAGAGGAGAGGAGAGGAGAGGAGAGGAGAGGGGAGGGGAGGGGAGGGGAGGGGAGGAGGGGAGGGAGGAGGGAGGGAGGGGAGGAGGGGGAGGGGAGGGGAAAAATGTAGAAAAGGCTGGTCCTAGGGGGTGGGGGGTAGATGGTTGCCTGTTCTGTTTTTTATTTCACAATTCAACACGTGTACCACCTTATTCGTTTTTAAAAGGCTGATTTTGGGGGCATGAAATAACGATATGGATGTGGTAACGAATTGATGATTTGGTCCCCTGTTTCGTTCCAGATTTCAACTTTTAGTTTTATTGATTGAAAGAGGATAGGACTTTCTGTGGTTTCACGGGTTGGCTTTTGGGTGGTTGTTGTGGTTTGTCATTTAATGAAATGTTTATAGGTTAAAAGTTGACTATAATTATAACATATAAGAAGATAAATGATATAATTATGGCTTAGTTTTGAATTATGAAGGTTTATCAACAATTAGTTTAAACCTTATGTTTTTTACCCCTTCAAAATTCATTCTATTTCTGTCTTCATACATATCACTGTATATTTCTTGGTGGGCCGCTATCATTACATCAGATAAATTATCTATGGTTGCATTATCACAAAGAGCGGTGGCAAGAGCGGGAAAATATGTTTCTGTGTCTGCCAAGCCTGTCAAACAGCATTCCCCCAAAAGAGGGGGAACATTCCCCCAAAAGAGGGGGAACAAGAGGGGGAAAGGGGGAACATTACCCCAAAAAAGGGGGAAAGGGGAAAAGGGACAGTATCTACTTCATATTCTTTAGGATATCTATGTTGGTGATGCTGGTTGCTGGTGATGCTGGGCTAAAAAAGGCTAACAAATATATCACTAATCAAAACAGTAGGTATCTTATACAACTCATCTTGTTTATGACTGATGCATCCATCACCCCAATCAACCTTTTTACCATTGGGCAATCGTTGGGCAGTTTCAAGATGTTTTCCATTTCTTATCTTGCCACAATCCCTTTTGCATAATGGTCTGGGTTTCCATGTTTCAATGTTTGACCACAACCTCGTCCGCTTTCTGTAGTTCATACCATATTTACAGTAATCCACTTCACCCCCCAAACAACATCAAACTATCCAACATCAAACTCTTTGTAGTCCCAACTCAGAATATCCTGATTGATATCAGCATTTTTCAAACCCAAGGAAATCACACTGTAGCCCAAATCACGAGCGACCATACCAACACTGCCTGTACCACTAAATAATTCTAATAATTTCATATTATTAGAATTACTTAGATGTTTATTTTATGGTATAGTGTCCATATGGTAAAGAAGTAAAGGTATCTAAGTAATGTCTTTTGTTCTCATAATTACTGAGTGATTGCTTGACTTGAGACATTGAATATATTTGGTGTGTTTTGCTCCTGATGAAGTTGTAGGAGATTTCGTGCTTTTTGTTGTGATGCAGTGCTTCGTGGTAGTTCTGATAGGTCAGTTCCTTCTTCACCTTGTGCTTGACGACGCCTTTGGATTTCTTGTGTTCCTCATCTTCACCATGAATTGTGAAAGCGTATGATTTAGGTTTCAACCCGATGAATCTAGTAATGATTTTACCGTTGACTTCATCTTTGTACATTCCTAAGACCTTCTTATTTGTTTTGTCATGGCATGGCTGTTCAACAGGATAATCGCTAAAATCCATATGCTGCTTGATACCTTGAAAATCCTTGTAGACATCATCAGTGAAGGTTTGAATTACATAACTGTCAGTATCGGTATATATCAATTTGATATTTTCGTTGTATTTCTTTTTCAACACACCATAGTAAAACTCGTACATATGTAATTTACTCAAATCCAATATTGTCACTCCTAAGAATATGGGTTTATCGAATTTCAGTTTAGCTTTAGTTTTCTCCACTCCTACCAGATTTTCATTTATGATAAATCTATTTTTGAATGTGGGATTATTCACACATTTTTCATATCTAACATCATTATCTGCCAGTTCAAAATCCATATGTTTTCTTTTGTCTTCCATAGTGTTTCCATACACTGCGTTATTCATTAATTTAAACAAATCCTTCTCAAAGTCGCTCTTCGCTTCTTTCCTTTTACAAGTGTTGAAGTCAATCCATGGTTTCAACCAAGCTCTCTGTTGAAATTTTCTTATCCTGTGAACCTTGGTGAGTTTCATACCCATTTTGAGATAATACTGTAAAGTCTTGATATGAACCACATATTTTTCTTTATCTTTCAAATTTAATATTAACTTGCTGGTTTTCTCATCCTTCGGTTCTTTGTTTCCATAGTAGATTTTGAAGGTTTCCTTTTGATAGTTTGACGACATATTAGCATTGACATTCATTATTTCCGGTGCTAGTGGATAGTCCGACTGGTAGTCGTGTAGCGTTTCTGGATATTCCAAATCCACTTCAAGGATGAAACCATACTCATCTTTTTCATCCCACTTTTCAATGTTAGGTGTTTTCTTTGCCCATTTGATGTTCTTTAAAGGCAATTTTTGAGACATTGCCAGACCATGCAAATTGTTAGCATCTAAGTAATTGATATAACTTGAAGGATTGTTTTCATCAAAGGCTTCATCCATATACTTATTGTTTGCCACAGCCAGTTTATGACTGACCTGACACATACCTCCTCGCATTCCCTTTTCAACCATCTCATACATTGCTTTATCGTGTAACTACACCAGTTTTCAACAACATAGCTTCCCAAGCGAAGTTAGGGAGCGTATAATAGTGTGCGGGGTCCAAACCGTAGTATTCCATACATAAGTCTCTAAAGTTTTCAAAAACATCAGTCAATAATAAGACATCGGTTCTCGCATACAAATCGTGATATTGTCCTAATGTTCTAATACCGAAGTGTCTCCAAACCTTTTGCGCCCTTTCATAATCTTTGTCATTGACATGTTCCTCACTTAATTTACTGTAGAACGCTTCTTTTGGTGGTAAGTTTCTTTCAGTAAATCTGTCAAAACTATCAAAATAGTCATAAGGATAAATCCCCTTATCAGTCAACAAGTCCAAATCTTCATCGGCTTTAACATATGGATTTCTAACACTATATCTAAAATTGTTCTTCCAGTTCTCACGCCTTTTATCATCTTCATACTTACTCAACTTTACCAACTTATCCAACGAAGACGATAAGAAGCTAAAACTGTCCTTGAAACAAAGGTTGTTAAAACCAAAGGTTATGAACTTCTCGCTGTTCTGTGCGATGCAATCGATTTTAGCATTCTTGCTCAGTTCGTGTGCCTTGTTGATGATTAAGTGAGCGTCATAGTTTTTAAGGTTATGAAGGAAGACAGGAATTTTGTAATATCTCATACTAAAAGCAAGATTACAATCATCATGAGCACAACCTCTATATTTACCAGTAAAATGGCAATGGTCACGAACCTTCTTATCTCCTTCTTGAAAGCCCTTTCCACAAACGAAACACTTAGTA